GTGCAGCTTTTACTAAGTAAAAGGCACTGCTACATCTTCTACATCTTGCCACCCAGGGCAGGTCTCGAGCAGGGAAGGCTGTGATGGCCTTGGCTCTGGTCGAGTGGGTTTTTACTCCAGGAAGGAATAAATAGCATTTCTGCGAAAACGAGCCCTTGTAGCTACGCAGGTTCCCAACATGCATCCCTTTGGACAGTTTCCCCCAACCCCTTCCCTTAAAAAGAGAGCGCGCGCCCAGAAGGGTCCATTACCATCCTGCAGGATGAGGGTGGGCTGCACCGCCTGCACTCGGAACTGCCTGGCTCTCCAACCCGGGCTGGGCGCCCGCACCACCTCACTATCAGACAGCCAGGTCACGGTCTCAAAGTTGTCCCCGCGAGCCAGCGCCTCGGCCTCGGCGTGATGCACGGCCACCCGGTCGAACTGGTAGAGGCCGCCCGAATGGTCAAAGTGCACGTGGGTGGCCACAGCTAGCAGTGGCCGGCACGCCGCATCCTCTTTGGCCTCGCGGTCCTGCAAGAGGCCGGAGGAGTACAAGTATTCCGGGAGACTGCGCAACCCCAGGCCCGTGTCGATCACCACATCCTGCTCGGAGCCGCGCACCAGCCAGATGTTGGCGCGATTGCCCGACTCATAGAAGCGCTCCTGAATCCAGAAGATGCCGTCGCCTAGGGACTTGTGGGCGTACCACTCGAGTGCCGACATGCTGGGCAGCGGTGCGCAGGGCGCAGTGGATATGAGGGTGTGTGCCTCCCCGCAGGCTGTCCAGACCCGCGACGCTGCGGCGGAGTGGGGCTGTCCGCCAGGGAGGAGGTGCAGAGCGATGAGGGGGCGGGAGATGCGGGGGTCGAACTAGGAGGAAGGATGAGCTGACACGCTGCCTGGAGCGTCCGCAAAGAGCTGAGGCTGCTCCGTCCGCACAGCGGCGCAGGAACGGTCGCAGCCTCAGTAAGCCACAGCACCAGGGAGCATCACTGCAGTAACCACTGCAGTAGATTGTGGACCCAGAAGGCGACACTTCGCCCAACTCTAGGGTCTCACCGCAGAGGCGGGGCGAATGGCGAGGGAGGAACCAGGCCCGCCCACTCACCCAGCCACCGCGCACAGCGATGCGCACTCCCCGCCCGCGCAGCGAGGCAGGCCCAGCCGCCAGGACAAGTACGGCGCCTGCCAAGGGCTAAAAAGCCCTCCGCCCAGGAGGTGGGGCCTCGCCGTGGAGTGGGCGGGGCCAGCGGACCGGGATAGGAATCCGGCTCGGTGGCCGCGTGGAGGGCGGAGCGCGCTTCTCCAGAGGTGGAACCAGCCGTGTCCGTGTGTCTGCACCCCTTGCTTGCCGGCCGGCACTTCGGCTGCACAGTTTTGCCCAAGCCTGGAGACTTAGAGAGCAGGTAACCTACGAAGCAGTTGAGAGCTCGGGAGAGGTTGGTGAGGGTAGAGGGGAATCAAAAAGGGCATATTGAGAAGGTGGGAGAAGTCAGGGGTAGAGACTCATTAAAGCGCCTCTGAGTTAAGGGGCTTAGGGAGAAAGCTTTACCTCTCTCCTGATCCTTTCAAAATCTTTTAAAATGTTAGTTTCCAGATTTTATCCACTCTCCGCTTCCCGGTACTGTTGACTGAGTTAAAAGGAAATTTATGCTACTACTGGTAGATTTTCAAATCCGGTCATTATGAATGGTTTGAGCAGGAGTCACTGCCGCAGATTTACTGCCAAGGACAGATACTCAGTATGTTTTCTCACCTCTGAGGGTTTTACCTTGTATCATGGGGGTAAGGGTTGTTTTTGGTTTTGTTTTTTCTCTTTTAAAAAAATTAAATTCTGTATCTCCTTCCCCCCCACACACACTATCTCTTGGGTTTTAGTTTCCTCTTGGAGGAGAGCAAAGAAAGTTGGTAGAAGGATTCAACTAAGAAAAGGCAGAGGCAGCCCTGCCTAGTGAGGACCAGAAAAGTGGGTAATGACTGGGTGTGGCCCCACCAGTCACATAAATCACCCCATTTTAATACCATATTTTATTCCTACCTTGCAAATCCATCTACTGAAATATCCATTTAGGCTTCAAAAGTTCCCCTGAGAACTGGACTAATCTCCCTATTCTGGCAGGAAAAATTATAAAGAGACCCATGAGACAGCATTATACAGATAATTACTAAAACCCTTATTGTGGGAGTTACTAATACACCTCATGGAAAAAGAGGTGATGCTACACTTCTGAAACCTTTAATGGAATTTTGACCTGTCTGAATATTTTCCAGATTTAGTTAGAAGTTGTCCAGTCACTCTCTTTAGTGCTACCTTTATGTGCAAATAAATATCTGAGCTACATGACAAATGAAGAATGAAACTGTTTCAAAAAGTCATCATCTAGAATTTGAGGGAAACTGATGTGTACAAAGCATTATGGGATGCATACCAAAGAGCTTTTTTTGGAGACTATTTGCAGGAAGCAGAGCTTTCTGTAGTTGAATATTTTTCCTCTGGATAGAAGAGGGCTGGAGGTGAAATGCAGTGATAATCCTGCAAGACCATGAACTCAGCAATAACTCATCCAATATTTGTTGAACTTTTACCATGCTGTGCTTAGTATTGGGATATGAGAAGGTGGTAAGTATTCAGGGAATCCATCACACTTACAGATCGCTGCTTCATCACACTTCCCCTTGTATATCCTTTTCTAGTGCCCCACATGACCCTCCCCTTTTCCTTACTTTTATTAGGTCTGTGTTCAAATATTTCAAAATATGGGAGGATTTCTTGCCCACTCTTACTGTAATAGCACCTCTTCTTTCTGCTTTTTCTTCATATCACTGCTTCCTACCTGATATTTTCTATAAAATATGTTTTTTTTTTCATTTCCCATACTAGATTATAATCTCCATGGGGGCAGAGATTTTGTTCACCATTATGTTACCTGTGCACAAAAGACTGTCTTACAAGAAGGAGCTTAGAATAAATTTGATGAGTGGATAATTAAAAAGCTTACTGATAATTAAAACAGGATTTTTAAAAGAGTAATAAAAGCATTGTAGTACTTGGGTAACAGAGGAGGGAGACACATCGTCTAGGTAGGGTAGAAGATGTGGTCACAAAGCGTGTACCTTTTACATAAGGTCTGCAGGGACTTGCTTAGGTGGATGTAGTAGAAAGGTCACAGCAGGAACACTACCTGTAAGAGCTGGTGTAATGGAGTTGATGTGGCTAGAGTGTGGACAGCTGGCAGGAGAAGCAGAAAGTTAGTCAAAAGTTCTGCTAGTTAAGAAGGAAGGTAACACATCAAAGTGGTTTTCTAGAAAGGTGAGTGGAGAATAGATTGAAAGTGGGAGTCTGTGGGTCCTCCCTGATGGTGCAAGGGGTTAAAGCGTAGAGCTGCAAAGCTGTCAGCATCCACTGAAGCATGAGTTCTACCGCAGGTCCTGGAGGTGACCCACATGGTGTAGTAGACTGTTCCTGCCCCACCTGCTATTCCCCTCAGCAGTGTACTTCAGTCAATCTGCCTGTTCTGCTCCCCACTCCGTCTCTGATGAATCTTCTCGCACACACACCTCAACACACGCGCACACACACATACACCCCTCTGGCCTGTACCCCAGTTCTTGTATGCATAAATAAATAAATAAATCTTTAAAAAGGAAAAAGTGGAGTCTGGCCTTGGGAACTTTGTTTTCTTAGAGGCCCCCATGAGAGATGATGAAAGCTTAAATGAAAACAGAGGTGAAGGGAGGCAAATGCAAATGATAGTTTTCTGTTGAGGTCAGCATGGCTTTCCAGTTCTGGGGTAATTTAAGTGTCACTCTTCAGGAAAGGATGCTGTAACCTGGTTTTCAGTTCCTCCCTATAACTTCTGTGCTGTTTACATCTTTTTGTAAGTTTATTGATATCCTTAGGCTGTTATATTGCAACAAGTTGGGTGGCCTAAAGTAACAGAATTATAATCTCTCACAGTTCTGGAGGTCAGAAATCTGAAATCAAGTTTGTTCCTGTAGGAGTCTTTAAGGGAGAATCTTTGTCTCCCCTTTGACTTCTGGGGTATTTGACACTCCTTGGTGTTCCCGGCTGGCAGCACCAGCACCACAGTCTCAGCCTTCATCTTCACATGGGGTTTTCCTATATGTGCCTCTCTGTGTCTGAATTTCCCTCTTATAAGAACACCGTCATTAGAAGAGGGGTCAGTCTAATTCATATGACTTCATCTTTAGTCCATTGTATCTGCAAAGATTATTTCAAAATTAAGGGGGACGCATTCTTAGGACATCAGCATTATTTTGGTGGGCACACAATTCAATCCACAGCAAGAGTATATGATATTGTGTTAGTGTTCTTACATTACTGAAATGCAAGCCCCAAGAGCAGAGATCTGGTTTAGTTCGATACTCTCTGGCTTTTACCCTAGTGCCTGAAATGCTCTTTATTGGTTAAATGAATGACTCAATGAAATTGATTCATATGAAGTAAAGAAGACGTAAATGAGGGGAAAGCTGACTTAAAAAAAAGGGGAAAAACCCTGTGTTTGAGAGGTTTGCAGGATGAGAAAGGAATAAAGATTATTGAATCAAAAGATTTCAAAGAGTGATGCTTGTGCACCATCTATTCATGAATCTCAGTCCTTTAAGAGAAGAAAATGAATTTTGCAGCTCTTGTTGGTACAGGAAAACTGACTCATAATAACCAAGCTAGAAGAGATGGCTTTATGGGCCAGAATACCATGTAATTATTAGGGGTGTCTCAAGAACTAAGATTGTTTTTTCTACCGGTGGCAGTACATTCACTAATTATGTTAATTCATTCACCCAGATGTTACTTGATAAATGAGGAAGTTTGGAATCAGCAGTTTGCTGTTTCTCAAGGGATATTCAGTCAAGCAGTGGTTGCTCTTGTACTCCTTTTTAAGATTTCTTGTCCAAACTCTTTCCTGGACTAACCTCCAACATTCTGGTAGTCAGTTTAAGGATTTAAGGATCACTGAAGCTTGGTATTTTTAACAAGTCATTCAGATAATTCTCATAACTATGTAAGTTTGGTATCTACCTAGAATTGTTTTTCATCTTTTATAACAAATGGCAAATCCCATGTGGGAATTCAGCCTACTGGTTTCACTGATACCTACTGGACTCCGAAAGCTAGTTTCTTAAAGTGAAGGTGTGAATTCTGCTCAGCAGTTTTTATACTGGAGAGACCTGCTTTTTGTAGGCCTAGCATCTGCTTTAATGACTCAGCAGTTGAAACCAGGCCATTTGGATATTTTCCTTCTCTTTTATTATAGACAATTGGAATAAGCTTAGTCATTAAATAAGTTTATTTCCTGTATGGACTGTGTTCCAGGGACATTAAACAGTGAGCGAAGGGAATTGATTCCAGGTAGAATACTAGGTAAGAAAGAACACTAAACTTTGTAGATGACCACATTACAAACTATAATGAAAAATGCATCTAGGCCTCAATCATTCATGTCTACTAAAATCACCAAGTGAGAAGAGATGGGGAACTTGGTACTAAATGAAACAGACTGACAGCACCTGAACCAGCTGAACAGAGAACACCACCAACAAATGTCATGTGCTTCCTGAAGGGATACAGTAGGAAAAAGAGATCATATTTTTAAACTGCTCTTGCAAAACCAAGTCCCAATCTAAGTAAACCTCTAGTCTACCTGTTTATGGAAAAATATAGAGAAAAACGGGAATGTGTTAAACTACATCTCCTGTGTATAATCACTCATACATAATTTGGGAAACTGGTGATGATACAGCCGTGCTGCTGCTCTTAGTGTAGTCTACACCAACAGCATTGGCCTTAGAAAATGTGTTAGAAATGCAGAATCTCAGGCCCACCCACGACCAGCTGAATCAGAACCTGCATTTTAATGAGATACATAGATTGTGTGTGTGTGTGTTTGTGTTGTGTGTGCACCTTGAAGTAGGAGAAGCACTGCAGGGACAACGACTTTGTCTTTTCAACCAATGGATGAGAAGGAAAAGGAGGGAAGGGACTGCAGGGTGTTATGGAAAGTCAAATTGCTTTCTTGAGCCCTAGAGTATTAGCAACAGGAAGGAGATTTAAAGAATGTGCACTGAGTCACCATTACAGTCGAATGCAGAGTTGTAGTGAAAGGATCCTTGTGCAGGAATTCCTGTTAAAATACTATGAACTCAATTCACACTACAGTGTAGTCAGTTTTTAGATTACCCAGAAATTGGATACTGAACTTACATATGTGATTTTGTTACTCTCCCCAAAACTGTACAAGTTTGATTTAACTGACATTTTCTTTGAACTTAAGTAATTTTTTCTTAGCTTGGGGAGACTTCATCGGGGTCTGTCTAAACCTTTTCCCATTTCTAAAAGGAGGGCATTGGATTAGATCGCAAGAATATTTTCTACCATTGAAATTGTAGGCTAAATATGTCACTTAAATATTTAAAGCATGTGTAGTTGATGAATGCAAAAGCAGAGTGTCCTCTTATCAGCTTGGTCTTTTCTGTCCACTCTCTTGAAGTGTGTTAGATCTTGTTGCCAAATCACAGCCATGTGGAGAGAATGGCATCAACTGGCTTTGCCATGGTTGTGGCAGTATCTCGAAGTTGACCAAGGTCAACCCTCCACTCGGAGCCTGGATGAACGGGTTAAAGCCACATCACCTCACTTGCCAAATGTGACCAGATGTAGGAAGTTCAGGAATCAGTTTATCACATGTTGCTTACTTATTAACAAGTTTTGCTTTCCAGAGGTATTTTAAATCAGCCATGCTACTTAAGGTATAGAGTTTTATATTTTCCTTTAAAATGATATATCCAATAAAAATGATCCAAATTTAAAAATAGAATAATAATGACAATAAAAAGATCATAAAATATTATCTTTGAGAATTTGCCCTCTTTTCTGATAGGTAACTTGCTTCTGATGGCTGGGAATAAAGGAAGAGGACGTGCTGCTTATACTTTTAATGTCGAAGCGGTTGGATTTAGCAGAGGTGAAAAGTTACCTGATGTAGTATTGAAACCACCCCCACTGTTTCCTGTAAGTATATTATTTTAGTGTTTTTTTCATAGTTCAGAGAAAATTAAGATTCTATGCATGGCATATATAACATCATGATATTATTCCAAAGTGTAGGAAAATATGTTTCCTTACATTTAAATATGTTTTTCCCTAAATCTTACCTTGTTTTCTAACCACTTTTTTAAAATACAGAAAACAAAATACTGTTTTCTGTGAGTAACCTAGTACTATGTGAACTAGGCAAACCTTTTATTCTTTTCCATTTCTTATGTCTTTCATTGCTATTATTAGTATAAATCAAATTAAAATAGTATTTTTAAAGGTGAGGCTTTATAGTGATTCCCAGTTGCCACTTTACCACTTTAATTCAGTGAATTTGTTCTGAACATATATCTATAGAATTTAACTTTGTTATTATTGTATCAGTTGTCCTTTTTTCCCTCTGAACAGTTTTTTGCTTATTTCTCTATTTTATTTTAGTTGATTGGAATTACTATTTATCAAAATATAAACATTTTTACTGTAATGTCATTTTCAGATTTAATGGAGTAATGTTACATGTTTAATTGGCAGAATATTTAGTACTTTTTCTTGGATTTAGTTTAAAATGTAAGTTCCAAATGTGTTTTTTGTTGTGGGTATAAAAAAATGAACAAAGTCATAAATAATCCGATACCTCCACCTCCAAGAATCTTTTCCCTATTTCAAAAGGAAAAGTCCTTTGCTGTAAGATTTGTATACGTAGAGGACCCTGGGCATTTGTATACAGAGGTCTACATTTCTTGCATAGGGAGTCTTGGTTTTTTTGTTGTTGATATTTTATCTTTCTGGTACTCAGTATAACCTAAAAATAAAAATAGCTGATGTATTGGCACATTGTCAGTTCACATTGATTTATTTTAAAATAGTTTCCTGTCCATGTTTGAGATTACATCTAAATGGGGATACTAGTATTTATTATTGTTTTATACTTGGAACAAAATTGAGGTACCTTACTGTGGATTGGAAGGCTTCTGTCTGACCTGATCTTCCTTTCTGTACCCTTTTCTGCTACTCTCCTTTCTCTGGAACCATCCTGACTTTGGATTTCCATCAGCCCATTCCTCCCCACTGGTTTCCCTGTCCGTGGCCATCTGTTCCTCAAGTTTTTGCACGAATGGCTTCCTAATTTTATCCTCTGCTTAAATGTGACTTCCCAAGTGATCATGAATGCTTATCCTGTCTAGGACTCATCACCTTCAACTACTGATACTGTTAGCCACTGTGAATTCTGCTTTACCTTTTTTAATACTGCTTGTCACTATTTATATATTACCTCATTTGTTTATTTGTTCATTATGTATTTGCACAGAATGCAAGCTCCATACAGGCAAGAACTTTGAATAGTCCATCATGGTATCTCCTTTGTCTAACCACATCAGATTATAGTAGGTACTCAATAAATAGTTAAAGAATGAATTAATAAATTCAGAGTGACTTCTTGGAAATATGCCTTATATGCTGAAACCAGAAATGTTTTTACCATATATACCTTGAGGTCCCACTTTCTAAATAATAAATTTTTATAACTATACATATACATGTGCATATTATAATTTTTTAATTGAACATATAGATTCAAATTCCTGTTTTTCTAATTGTGTGTGAACCTCAAACTGTTCATCTCAGTTTCTTCATTGTAAAGTGGGAAACTTTAAATGAGATCATGGATGTTGAGTATTGAGCACATCCTGGTCATAATAACCAATAACCACTGGTTAAATGATAGCAGCTGCAATTTTTTTTTTTTTTTACACATACTGCTCTTTTCAATACCATCACTGATAATTGAGGTTAATGGCAACTAAAACAGTTACTCTTACTTGGGTGTCTTGATTTTTAAAATATGGAATCACAGCCAGCAGAATGAATAGCATAGTAAATATTGGTGTGGTCAATAGAAAAATGTGGAAAGTTAACCATCATTTATTTCAACCTTCAAAATAAGAGCAAAGTAGGAAATGGACCACACAGTTAAATACACTAAAAGGTCATTATCTTTTAAGTTGATTATAAAACTGCCTATAAAGGGTTCTTTTTCTTTAAAGCTACCATTTTCCAGACAATAGACAAAAGGGATATTAAAATATTTAATTTATTTAAAAATTCCCCATAATCTTTTCATTTAAACAGGATACAGATTATAAGCCAGTGCCACTGAAAACAGGAGAAGGTGAAGATTATATGCTGGCCCTGAAGCAAGAATTGAGAGAAACAATGAAAAGAATGCCTTATTTTATGGAAACACCTGAAGAAAAGCAAGGTGCGTAGTGAACTCTGGTTATAAAACCACACTGTGGCACAAACTATATATTTGGCACAAACTATATTTCTATGTATGTGTGTATATATGTGTATATATATGATTACCTAGTGCTGATTGGTTCAGTTAAATCAAATTATCAACTAACATGAAAAAAACATACTGATTTGACAGAAAATATACTTTAAACTTTTTGACATTTTATTTTTCAAACTGCCTTTCATAATAATTTTATGTGTTCAGTGAAAACTAGGAAAAACAAAACTTATAAACAGTAAATATCACCTATAATTCATATCTAAAGAACTATTGATAAATATTTCCTAAATATCCACTTCTGTATGTGTATTCTTTTTATAAAATTGAATTTGCATTACTTTGTATATTCTTTTTTACTCTATTGTATCTTACTAACATTTTAATATATACTTGGTATTCTTGGAAAATATGATTTTTAATGACTGTGAAAGTCCATGGTGTGGACTTATTAATTGTAACTAATTCCTGCTATTAGCTGTAAGGTGGTTTCAAGTTTTTTGCTCATCTTTGCGGCTCTGATTATTATCAGTACATACACATCTTTATGCAGGTCTCTGATGATTTAATATTTTAGTTAAAGTTCTAAAAGGACTTGATTGTATTTTGGCTTATCTTTGATACATCATGTATTCACTAATTATGCCAATATTATAGAGGAGAACAGAGACACTGGAGAAGGCTGGAATTCTCCGAGAGTAGGAGGGAAGTGGTTTTAGAGAATGCACACCCATTCCTAAGTAGTTACTTAGAACAAATGAACTGTATTGATTTTACTTTCTGCCCTTGAATATTGAAATTAGAGAAATCAATATTGTCCTTGAGTTGTCAAAACAACATAATTAAAACATGAGAAATTCATATAGTGTTACTTCATTCCATTAGTATTAAAAATGCATTCCATTTTCCCTCTCTTTAAAACACTTGGAATTGGCTTAGAGTCAAGAGGAAATCTTGCATTAGTAATATTACATATGCTTATAAGAGGCATTTTAGATAAGTTCATTTAAATTTTAAAAACATAGCTGTAAATCCATCATGTAATGATTTTAAAAAGGAAGACTAAGTGAACTAATGAACATTCATTCCACTTAGAAAAAAATAATCGTGTAGGATATACCTTAGTCTTTTAAAAGTAGTCCTTTGTCTAGACTATAGGATAGATTCACTTCACTAAACGTGAAATACATGTCTAATTTAAAATTATGTCATAAGTACATTTTGTGAGTATTCTGCACAGGAAACATTAAGATCATAATTTTGTTGGTGGTTTCTGGAAGTGGTACCTGGAGCAAGAGGCTCTTAGTCTTTGATAACAGCACATAAAAGTATTTAAGTATATACTGATTTTACTTTGTTTCTTTCAGGAGAAAACTCTTGTATAAAAATTCCCAAATTGATGGAACATTCTTCTTGTGTACTTGTCCTTCCTGCTGTAAAGTGCTTAAATAGAACTGTGGTTGAAAATACAGCTTTTATATATATATGAATTTATATGTAATTGTAGGTATAGAATAAAACAATACTTGTTTAGAAACCTATTTGTGTATATATCACATATGGATATGTGTATGTGTGTATATTTACATATAATTACATATATTTACATATAATTCACTTTTTTGTAATGTGCACACCATATTCGAAAAAGAATTGGCCATACTGGACAGAAACACCCAACTGTCAAGGGAGCCATTTTCTAAATAATGTTATGTCATCAGATCATCTGATAACTCAATTTTAACATTTTCATGAACTGTAGTACTGTTTTCTGAAGTGAGTGTACCAGTTCCCACAATTACCATTCCTGTAGATTCTAATTTCTGCAGGTACTTGCTAACAGTTGCCTTATTTTGTTGCCATTTTATTATGTATCTCATGCTTTTGATTTGATTTGATATGATTTCCTTTATGATAATGGTGTTATCTTGTCGTGTTCTTTTTATCTCTCTGTATATTTTCTTTAGAAAAATGTCTGTCAAATCTTTTGCCTATTTTTAATTTGGTTCAATAATTGGTTTTTAATTTATCTCATTCTATAAATTCTTTCAAAGTAACTTTAAAATAAGCCCTTCATTGCACACAGATTATCATTAATACACAGATTATTAATGATAATAACATTTTCTTGCTATGCTAAGGTTTAATTTTTTTTTTTTTAATATGGGATCTGTTTGGGAGAACATTCTGAAATACAAATGCTAGGAGTCTCATTTGTTCTGACTTCTCATTACAGATGAAAAACTGAGAGTAAGATTAAACATTTAACCTGAAGTCAAACAGATAATATTCAGAAAAGTCTGGTCTCTTGTTCTCTGATCTACTATTTATTTTAGCTCTCTTTCTCTAACATCATTATCCTTTTATTATTTACAAGCATTGTCTTAATGCAGATGAAAAATTAGTATATATTTGGAACTTGATTTTAATATTTTCATTTTATATTACCTTCTCTTTTTCATGGCTATACTCCAACATTTTTCAACCTATTGTGTGATGATGTTGCTTGCCAACTTATTCTACCGGAAAAGGGTTTGGACCCTCATCAAGGGAATTTCTTGTGTCAATGGACAAGGAGGAAGCAAGAGCAACACATTTTGGGCATGCTTAGAAGAGCAGTATTCATCCTGAAATGTGTACAACTTCCTCATTCAGGCCCATTAAGACCATCCTTATGAGCTTGATTCTACTCTTTCCCCATTTTCCTTCCCAATGGGCTGTGAAAGTAGCTTATTGAAGAGCTAAGTGCTTATGCATATTATGTATAGAAGTGAACAGACAGCCCTCTCCATCCCCAGTTAACTACTTAATGCATCCTAGTTATGCAAAATAAAAAGATTGGGAGAGGGAGGCCATATCAGAAGGAGAAAATAAAAGATTCCAAGTAGACCTTCCTGCTCTTTTATTTTATGAGTGGCTTCCTCATGACTTTGGGCTGTTGTGTATATTCTCAGAGATGAGTCAGGTTGTCTTGATTCTAAGATCCTCAATTGGTTGGTAAGTCTCTGCTCACCATTGGTTGTTAATGCCCAGATACTTACAATCAGTTTAAGCAACACTGTACATCTTTGCACTGTGTTCAGGAGAACATTAAGTATGAATGTGGGAAATTCCCAGTATGTGAAATAAGAGAAGTTATCTAGTGTTTCTGTTATTTTATAGGAATGGCTTAAATTCAGCCTTCATCTTTATTTTTCTGATGAATAATTTTTATTTGTTTCTAGATATTGAAAGGTATAGTAAAAGATATATGAAGATTTACAAAGAAGAGTGGATACCAGGTACTCATAAAAAGAATAATGATAAAATAATTTATAAAGGCTACTCCCTATTCTATATATATTTTAGGACAAATTTTCTGTTTGAATCAAAAGAAAAAATTCTGATTCTTTCCTTGTAATTAATTAGTAATCTTGTTGCTAAGATACCTTTTAACAGAATCATAGCTAGACAGTTTATTTTCAACAGTCATAAATTTGCTTTGGTTACAGATGTGATGGAAGGGTTGGGAAGGAGATTTTATCCAATTTATTCATTTTGTCAATGAAAAACAGTTACTATAGAAATGAAGTGTTCTGTCAGGGCGAGTTGGACAGTGCTGTAAAACTGGGATCTCATATTTAACACATTCTTCACTGGCATCTCTTTCCTTTGTGTTTTGTACAAGCTACCTGATGTTAAAGCATAAGTAGCACTTGTAACATTATTGCTTCATGAGTTATAGTTGTAGTTACAACTACCTCTTTGCAGTGTTGATCGTCAATAAGGTTGACTTCCCCTGGAAATAATTCTCTCATTTCTTCAATTTCATAAATATACATCTCCCAAGTGATTCTCTTTACTTACTTTTTCATGAACTTCTATGAGATGTTTATTAAAAAAATTATGTTCAAAGAAAGATTTATTCATTCAGGTAAAGTTACTTGAAATGTAAATGTTTTATGGAAAGTATACTGATTTTGTTTTTATTAGCAGGCAATTTTTTTTTAATACAATTTTATGTTGCTCCATTTTTCTGATTAATGTTATGCTTAAAAATGAAAAGAAAGTGACAAATTGGAGGAAATGTTGCGCTAACTCAGACAAAATCATTTTGGGGAGGGAATTTTTCCACAGTTATTTATGTTTTTAATCTTAGAGTTTTTAGGTAATTATTAGAATTATTTCATTCTTACAAAATAATTGTTTAGTTTATTAATTGACTGAACAATTCTCAAGAAATCAGCTGTAATCCTAACACACACACATTCACATACTCTCACTCTCTCAAAGGATTACTCTAATGTTCTGTTCCCAAATGAGAGATTTACTTGCACAAGTACATATATATATATTTTTTTTTTCTTTTTTTCAATTGAGGTAAAATTGGTTTTACGGTACTATGTAATTTAGGGGACTAAGTTCACATCTCTTCAGATGTATGTCGCCATTCCACACACTCCATCCATATTGGAAACATTTTTCATTCAACAATAAATCTTGAGTAACTTTTCATGTCCTCAGATATTCTTTCACATTATTATTATGAAAATTTGCTTTTAAAATCAACTCCATAAGTATAACATATATTGTTAAAAGAAGGTTGTAGAAATTTTATAGCATCACTGCATAATGCTTTAATGAACTTTTTCTTCATAGGAGAAAATATGCCACCATTTGTTATATTTTGATTCTCAGGCTATATCTATACAGCCAGGCATTAATAAATTGATATTAATAAATCTTAGGTTCATTGCATGAGCAACTATTATTGTCTTCTGTAAATAATCAGTGTCACTGATTCCTAAAGGAAGCTGCAGTTTTATATTTTTCTGCTTTATAGATTGGAGAAGACTCCCAAGAGAGATGATGCCAAGGAAAAAGTGCATAATAGGTAATATTGGCTAATTTAGTAATGAATAATCCTGGGTCAGGAAAAATTAGTACTTAGATTCTTTCTGTTTACTGTAGAGTTGTCAACCTGAATAACAAATATAGACCTGTCCTGAATAATTTTTCATAAAACATTTAGCATTTTAATGATTTTGCTAGTTTTTGTTGTTGATTTTGTTGTCTGCTTTTCCTTTCTTTCCTTACAGAATTTTTGCTCTGCTAGAAAATATATATTTTTTAATTATGTAGCTATTTTCACCTGCATCTTTGATTTTTTTAAGTGTTCATATTGGCTATATTTAAGTTTTTTTTTTAAGATTTATTTATTTATGCATACAGAACTGGGGTACAGACCAGAGGTGCAGGGGTAGTAAGAAGATTCACTAGAGACAGAGTGGGGAACAGAATAGGTAGAATGACGAAGTACACTGCTGAGGGGAGTAGTGGGCGAGACAGGCGAAGTCTACTACACTGTGTTGGTCAGCAACCTGGCTAAGGATTGAACTCATGCTGCAGTGGCTGCAATGGCTTCATAGTGCTGTGCTTTAACCCATTAAGGCAGGGAGGGCCCAATTGAGCATCTTCTACTGCTGTGAGGACATAGTAAAATTAATCCTTCCCTCATGAACTTTACTGTCAAATGGCGTCAAGCATCAAACAAAAACACAGTACTCTGAGGTCAGGGAAGGGTTCTTTGAAAAAAGAAATGGGGCTTTCTGATTGAAAGATGAGTAGTAATACAACAAAATGAGTTTGGAGAAGGAATATTGGAGAAAGATGCGGCTTGAGAAGGAAAATCATGAGTGCAGTCCAAAGATGATATTTATACAAATAAAAAGGTGAATGCTGTTGGGTACTGTTTTGCGGATAGACCTCCACAAACTGAGAAAGCATGAGTTTATTCAGGGTGAAATAAAAGAACTAGAAGAAATGAGAATCTAATCTGGAGTTTAGGAGAAGACCAAAATTGAATGAACTGGTGGAGGAAATAGAATCAGCAAAGAAAAGAGGTAGGGACCTAGAAGAAAGTGGAGTGACAGAGTCAAGAGATGTTTTCAGAAGGTGATAAAGGCAGTTAAACAATTCTGCTAGAGGTTAAGTAAGTTAAAGAGTAGAAAATAGGAACCAATGTTTGACATGTAGATTATCATTAACCTCAGTAAGAGTTTTTTAAAAGCTTCTAAAGGTAGAATCCAGAGTGGAAATGGGTTCAACAGTAAATGGAAGTTCAGGAAATGAAGCCAGGTGGCATAGGTGAGTCTCTGGAGAATTTTGCTGTAAATAATGAAGAGGAAAAAGGTAAAGTATCCATAGATTTTAAACATAATGGACTTAGAAATTAAGAAAAGAGAAGACATTCCCTCCTTAACCCTTCTCTTATTTTCTTCAGACCCTGTCTTTTGTTTTTGTTTTTTAAGCGCTTATTTTTCAGGGTAGTTTTACATTCGCAGCAAAACTGAGAAGAAACACAGGGATATTCCATATGTGCTCCCTGAGCCCCCACATATGCAGCACCTACCCCACTCTCAGCATTCTCCAACACACTGGTATGTTTGTTCCAGCCAAGGAACCCACACAACACATTGCTACACAGAGTCCATAGTTTGCTTGGGGTTCACTCTTCATGTTATAGTACATACTGTTGGGGTTTTGACAAATGTATAGTGACATGTGTTCACCACTGTAGTAGTACACAGATTAGTTTCATGAACCTAAAAACCCTTCATTCTCTGCCTGTTCATCCCTCTCTTGCCTAACAGCCAGTAATTATTTTTACTGTCTCTATTGTTTTTCTTTTTCCAGGATGTTATGTAGTTGGAATTAAACAATATGAACCCTTTGATAGTCGTTTCCTTCACTTAGCAATATGCACTTACGTGTCCTGCATGATTTTTCCTGGCTGGTCACTCATTGCTTTTTCATCCCCAATAATACTCCATTTCATGGACTATTAGTTTATTTATCCATAGTTTATCCATTTGCCAGCTAAAGCATATGTTGGTTGCTTTAAGTTTCAGCGTTTATGAATAAAGCTGCTATAAGCATCTATTTTTGTGTGATATTAGGTTTAATGCCTTTGAGTAAATACCAAGGACCATTATTACTCATTTGTGTGTTAATAGTATGTTTTGTTTTATAAAAACCCACCAAACTGTCTTCTAGAGTTGCTTTACTACTTTGCATTGCCACCAGTAAGGAATGAGAGTTCCCATTGTTCCTCCACACCCTTACCAGCGTTTGCTGTTTTCATTGTTGTGGATTGTGATCATTCTATGGTGATAGATTATTTTAATTTGCATTTCCCTAGTACATAGGATGTATAACAGCTTTTCATATGCTTGCTGGCCATTTGTTTATCTTACTTGACAAGCTGTTTTTTAAGGTCTTTGGCCCATTTTTAATAGATTTTTATTCTGTTTGTTGAGCTTTAAAGGTTCTTTGCATATATATTTTTGTATGTTTTGGATAGCAGGCATAGGAAAACACATTCTATTGTGTAATTCTCCTTTTACTCTCCTGCTACTATTGCTTTCACAAACATTTCTGACTGCAGAAGGGGCATTTTTTGTCTACATCATGCAATTCTCAGCTATACTAGCTGGGTATCCTACAGTTCAGTTCATGGCACAGACCTTATAAGTTTACTCCTCAGTTGGCTTCTTACAGATTCCTCCAACATCTGTCTTGATGTGGCTACAAATTGGGGCTCCCATCAACCTCCTTGGATTTGTTTTGGTCACAAAGCCCAAGGAAATACTTCTTTACATTTATCAGATTTTTGTAGGATAATGCATAGGCTAAAATGTACAGATGAAGAAATACAGAAGACAAGGTCTGGAAGGGTCTCCAGCATAGCCTCTTCTGTCTTTGTGGTGCTGAGTTATACCACCTTCCCATGTATAGATTTGCTTACCAATCCAGAAACCCTGAATCTTATACTATTGGGACTTGTATAGAGGACACATCACATAGGCATGAACAAATATTAACTCATCTCTATCCAGCCCCTCCCCTTTTCCCCTTTCCTGGGAGATGGGAAAGCGACTGCAGGACTCAGGCTTTGAATAGTGGCTCTGTTTACCTGGTAGATGGCCCCATCTGAAACTACCCAGGAGCCCACAAAACTACCCAGGATGTCTTTAGAATTAAAGACATCCTTATCCTGTACATTCCAAGGGATTTAGAAGCTGTGTCAGTAACCAGGGTTAAAGGCCAAGTATTACAAAAGATGCTCCTAGTACTTCTATCACTTAGGAAAATACAAGGATTTTAAAATTTCTGTACCAGACACCAGGAGCTGATACCAATATTTTTTTTTCCTATTATTTCACACCCTTCTTTATCAGATAAATGTTTTGCAAATGTTTTCTCCCAGTCTGTCATTGCCTTTTCATTCTTGACATTGTCTTTCCCAGAGCAGAAGTTTTTCATGTTACTGAGGTCCAGTTTATTAGTTCATTCTTTCATGGATTGTGTCTTTGGGAGTACATCTTCCTACTTCTCAACAAACTCAACATCATCTTAACTTACAATTTTATTGCTTTTGATTTAACATTGTGGTCTGTGGTGCATTTGAGTTAATTTTTGTGAAGTGTGGTTTGGTCTGCCTGAATTCATTTTTTGTATCTGGTCGAGAAGAATTAATGTTTTTAAATAACCCCTCAGCCTGCTCTTTCTGGAAATTCACATATACATTAATCATTAGTGAAAAATTTAGTAAAGTGTGTCATGATTTCATTTATTAATAATAACAAAGCCCACATTTTCTTACTCCTTTGTGCTCTAATATTTTTTATTGCATGTTGTGTAATTTTGGTGTTGTGTTGTTAATCAGCTTATACTCTCCCTTTCATTCAAATGGCCTCCAGTGATTTATATGAAAGCAGTGCCAAACGGCCACTGGCTGAAAGAATTTGTTTCTTGAAGAAGCAGCTACTTGCAGGTGTTGAAAGAAGCTAGAAAGTTCAAAAACTGCATATATTTAACTAAAAATGGTAAAAAAATTTATGCTATTGTCTTTGGGTTAAAACAGTCTTTCAACAACAATTGGTAGTTTGGTACTTTTTCCTTAATTATACACAAAGGGATTAAACATTTTACAAAACCAGCATTATAGGGAGCAAAAAACTCTGAATGGACTTCTATATATAACTGACTTCTTGGCTAAGAGATTAGCAATTGTTAGTAAATTTATTTACCTGATGATGTTCTATAATATGTATTTGATAGACTTCTATGTAATGACTTTTAAATAATTAGATAAAAGATCTGTAGAGAGAAAGACTTAAGCATATAAGTAAATTATATTCTTAGTTAATGTTTTCAATAATGTTTATTGAGCACTTGTTCAAATATGATACTCTATTTTATGTGCTATAGTTCAAAGTTAACAACCTTTTGTCTTCAAAGAGGAATCAAGAAAGTTAACCAAACTGGAACTTTTGTTTGAGCAAAATCTTAGTTAAATATATGTTTGGGAGGTATGAGTTCAGTCCCTCTCTATGGGGCAGTTCGGTATAACGAGTAAATTATAATTCCCTCAGATTTGGGTCATCTTCCACAATATAAAAATGTCTTCTGTAGATTGAATGTTAATCTTTAATAAATAAAACTAAATCTTTCTGAATCATACATTTCTTTGTCAACAAGTAATTTCTAGGTATTTAGCTTGATTTTAGGAAAGATATATACTTTGTGACCATAATAGGACAATTTTGTAAAGTCATAATGTTTGATAAATGGCAAGATCTTCATATGAAATATTTCCTCCATATAGTTTCAGAATGACCTCAGAATGCAGTTTTTGATATAACTTAGAAGTTTTATATCTCCCAAAAAACAAAAAGTTTTTTATCCCAAAGCCATTAAAACATTTCATAGTATGTTTTGAGTTTTAGATGCATACGGTAGAGGACATGTTGCCTTTAACCTCTTAATCTTCATTCCACAGATAGTGTTATATCACATGGAATATAACCTTTTGGCTCTTTAACCATCCACACATGCTTATTCACTTGTTTTTATCTTCCAAACCTGCTAAAAATTGTCCTGGTGATTATAGTGATCAGTGAACAGGAAGCTGGTGAAATTTTAAATTTGTGAGGGCCTTTTTTACTAGCTCTACCCTAAGTAATGATTTAGCTGTTTTTGCTATCATGACGTTAATTACCAGTACAAATTTCCAATACTGGCAAAAAGACATCTAGTTGCAGTCTTGGAAAATATCTGATTAATTGATTATCATTTAATCCTAATCATGAAAAATTGGTGAGGTGTGCTAATGTATTTTGTTTATTCTATAAGAAAATTAATTCAGTATGCAAATTATGTGACTTCTTTTATGATATGCCAGTATGCAAGACAGCATATAAAAAGGCAAATATACAGTTGCTGTTATAGAAAAATATATTAACTTTGGTTTTACTTTAGCAGGTCCCAAATCCAAAAAGGCAAAAGATAGAGGCAAAGGTACTTCACTCTCTAATACTGCAGATGTATTGAAAAAAATTGAGGTAAGGTTTTCTTCTTTTAAAAAACAACTAAAGCTAGAAAAATAAATCTCCTTTTACCTTCTTCAGACTTTTCCCTTCTCTCATTTTTAGTAATCTGTGGGTTGTAATAATAGCCAAGCAAACAAGGTAACTCGAAAAGTTTCTCCTTGGCTGCTAGTAGTTGTGGAGTTTGATCTGTCTTTTTTACCACTTACCCATCAACTTGCCTCATCTTCTATCACTTGCTTCCTTTTCCACTGTATCCCTACTTTCCCCCATATTTGAATTATGCTGGGGAAAGAAATATAAAAGTGTTACATACCAAAATATATATATTCTTTTAGATCCTCTCATTTGGTGATTAGGACTTTTTTTTTTTTTTTAAGATTTTATTTATGTATACAGAACTGAGGTACAGGTCAGAGGTACAGGGGTGGTGAGAGGATTCACCAGAGACAGAGTGGGGAGCGGAACAGGCTGAAGTACACTGCTGAGGGGAGCAGCGAGCAGGTCAGGAGAGGTCTGCCATGCCATGTGGGTCACCTTCGGCTGGGGATCGAACTCATGCTGCAGTGGGTTTAGCGTCTTAGTGCTGTGCTTTAATCCGCTGTGCCACCAGGTAGGGCCCAATTAGGTACTTTTTAGTTGCTTTTTTTCCTGTGTCTTGTGTTAAAAGAGTAGAAAACTATATGGAGGGAAAACTATATTACAGAATTAACATATCTTCATTTTTTAAATATTTCAGAAAAAAAATGTGGGAATTGCAGCAACACTATTACGAAAATGAAAATGTGTAAAATTCAGAATTGAATAATGCTGAAAATTACCTCTCCCAGCCTCTCCCTAGCCATCCATTTCCCCTCCTGTTCACATCAGCATTATCAGTTTCTTACTTTAAGTCATATTTTATACATACCAAATACAGATTTTTTTTCTTGTTAGTGAGAGAAGGTAGCATATTACACTCTTTTGCATTTTCATTTTCTCTCTTAACAAAATATCCTGGAGATGGTTCCATGTTAATCATTCTTTTTTTCCTGGCTGCACTGTAAGCCATAATTATTTGAAATCAACGGACATTTTTATTTCATATAGTGTGTTGCTATTATAAACAATCTTGTAGTGAATCATGTCATGTCATTTCTCATAGTAGAGTGAAATGGTTTCCAGAAGTGAATTTGTTGGGTCATACATTATATAATATGAATAAATATTAAATATTGGCAAATCCTTCTCCATGGAAGTTATAGCAGCTTTTCCCACTGTCAGTGCCTGTATTCCCTGCACTGGCGATGATGATGATGATGATGATGATGATGATGACAGTGTGATAACACCTAGCGCTGACTGTGAACTAATCTGAGCCAAACTCTTAATGAGCAATTATATCTGCAAGACTTCATAACAACAAAGACAGATGAGTGGTGGTATTCTTTACTTAAAGATGAAGAAATCAAATCTTTAAAGCCTTTACTTTGTTTGACCAGATTAACACAGCTGCTCCATAGCAGAAACTCATATTTTTGTCATTTTAGTTCTTGATCAGTATTTGAGCTGTAGTTAATATATTTGAAAATAACACCAGGAGGATTGTTCAAGAAATAGCGCTGTCAAGTCTAACTCTGGTGAAATGATGGATGAGTTGCAGGACTAGCCAACTTGCATTGATTGGACACAGATCTGACAAAAGCTTCCTGGAAAGAAGCTGCTAAGAAACATTTGCTATAAAAAAGATTGATCGGGATCTCTGGATGTGGTTTCTCACCAGAACAAATTATGTTTCCTTAATCCTGTGCATTCAAATACCTTTTTCAGCATACACATTTTAAAGTTTTAGTATTTATATTTTTCTTGTGTCAAATCTAGAAATCCCAATCAGTTGGCATTTTTTATAAAATAAAATTATAAACTAGATGACTTTGTTATTTGTTCATGTCTTTAACAGAATCAGTTACAGGTTTTATTATAATAAAATTTCTGTGGCCGGAGAGGGAGTAACATATCTTATAAGATGATTAATATGTGAATAATCAGACAGCAGTAAACTATTAGTTGAGCTAATTTCTTCATGACATGGAAAAGGCAATGGATGCGATTTAAATTAGTAGAATAGTTCCCTGGCTTCAAATTAACTGTTTTCAAATTACATATTCCCATAATTCTTAAATATATAAATTAGTAAAGATAAATAATTAAATTTCATAAAGGAGAAAATATAGGCTACTAAATAGAACCAAAATTAGTAGGTTAATGCAAAAATGAAGTAGTGAGACAATGTGTCTAACTCTGAGATCATTGTTTTATAGTATGAATCTGCTGTTGTTAACCTGCTTAAGAATTTTGTGGGTTTGAATTGGGTCTATATGGTAGTAATAAAATTAAGGTTTTTTATTCAAATATATTTGAAATGGCAATAATGGAAATGAATTTATTTTATATTTAAATGTTTTTACATAACCAGTTTAATGCTACTACTAAATATGAAATAATGGCTAATAATACATTTTGTCAGATATCAGCATGAGGATAGACCACCTTATGCCTGTTATCTTAGTCTTACTCTTGAGTGGAGTGAGCAGGCAGGAAAGAGAGTTTGAATTCTGTTTAGAGATTCAAGCTAGCTGATAAAATTTTTCTATTGCCTTTGATTTCCTTAAATTCAGGTATGAATGTAATTAAAGGATTTTTAAAAATAAATATTCAAGAACTAATGCAGGAATAGCTAGTTGTACCCATTCCAAATACAAAGTGTATTTTCTGTTTATATGTATGTAATCTAAAAAGCAAATGTTTTTCAGGTTTATGAAGTAGTCTTCTGATTAGTGTTTAAGAATAATCACATCTTAACCAAAGTGACCTTATGTTTTAATTATGCATATTATTAATATGTGAAATTATTATTTTACCCACTTTCTAGAAAACTTGTACAAAATAAGAATAGAAGAGCTTAGTGAATGGACAGTGACAGCAATGAAACCGGGTCACTTTTTCCTAATGAAAAAAACTGGTGGTCATACTAGAAACTTAAAGATGTAATTTTAAAGTTTGTGTATTTTGAGATAATATAATAGTGCTTTTAACTGGGTGAATAAAAGACAATGGAAGCTTTTCTGATTCTGCATTTTGCCTTTGCTTCCACTCTTAGAGTTGCTAGTAAGTGCTAATGTTGGCTATTATTTAAATTTTAAATTATTTTCTTAGCCTGTTAGATATATTAAAAGGCAAACATTTCTAGAAATGGAAACTAAATAATTAAAGAGAAAAGGATAAGGGTATGAATAATCTACAAATAGAATAATTCACCCTGAGATGACTTGATAATTGCTTTAAATGACTCCACTTATAAACTAAAACATACATTTTAAAATGTTACTAATACTTTATCTTTTATCATTTTCTGTTAGAGGGAAAGCAAACTAACATTCTGAAATTTCTTCTCATTAACTTCGTCAACTCAATATCTGAGAAGGAGGTAGGATGGAAATCATAAAAATAAAACGTTATACATTAGAGCTGATAAATCAGCATTACCTGAGGCCCAATTATATTATGAAATAATAAATTTTAGTGTAATGACAGAAAAGTGAGTTCCTCCTTCCATGAGGGAACTTACCTAGTTTCCTAGAAAGCGGTCTAGGGTGGTAATGAGGAAGATAAAGAATAAGGTGACAGATGACTGTATTCTCTTGAGGCTGAGCAGAACATCAATGGCTTACCTATAACTTAATGAAACTTCTTTATACTAGGAATTGGAAAAGAGAGGTGATGGTGAAAAATCAGATGAGGAAAATGAAGAGAAAGAAGGAAGTAAAGAGAAAAGTAAAGAAGGTGATGATGAAGAGGAGGAGGAGGAAGATGCTGCAGACCAAGAAGATTATGATGAAGAGGAGCAAGAAGAGGTAATGGCATATTTGGGAATGGTTCAGGGTTGTAAAGTATAAGCGCCAGCTAATAAGAAACCAGGTATATGGTATATAATTAAGCCAAGTTGTTGGGAGATATGGGCATATTAATATCCCTGACATTAATTTTTTAATATCAAGAATTATTGGAGTATTAAAATTATAATGATGCCAAATGGAATATATGAGATAAAGATAATTTCATAGACAACTCAGTAAATGGAAATCCACAAGTTAAGGAAATTGATCACATTGATTTAACTATGGTTTATCCTCTTAAAAGTTTATCAGCAATTAAATTTAATAAGGCCTTAGTCATGAGGTCTGAGGGGCAATCTCTGCAATATCATGTTTCAAAGCCCAAAGTGTTATGGAGACCATGAAAAACATATAATCCAATTTTGGGTGTCTAATTAACACAAGACTTTATTTTGAATTTTCAACATTTTAGAATCATGGTGCATTTCATGATTAAGCAGGGTCAATCCAGATATTTTTGAGAAAGGTAACTCTTTAGTTGTGCCTTTTTAGAACTTTATATCTACCTCACACAGTAACCCTAAGCTGAAAATTTCTTCTCCTTTCTATTGAACTTTGTCTTCACTCCATTTCAGCTTCTTACACTGCAATCAGAATTGTTTCTTCACTTGAAACTACTCTATGAAATCTTTATTATTATATGCCTGATTTTTCACTAAGTTTCAGATACTTTGCAATTTATATTGTGTAAAGGGGAGGAGTAGATTCCACTGTGTAGCCAGTTGCTAACTTCATTTACTAAATGATTTGCTTTCTTCATTGATTTGAAGTTCTTTCTTTATCAGCTATTAAATTTCTCTGTCTACTTAAATGTGTTCCTGGACTCTCTGGATCTTCTTCTGATTCATCACAAAACTGATCTAAATAACAAAAGCTTCCAACTATTTGTCAACATTTTTAGGGTATTATCTTCTCTGTTTCTCTCCTTTTTCAGAATTTTTCTAAGTATTCTTTGCTTATTCTTCCAGGTTAATTTTATCTCTAAAATTAAACATTCCATTTGTATCCAATTTTCTTTCCAGATTATTCACTTTTTCTTTTCTTCCCTTTGCTCTCTACCATGAGACTGCTGGACCTTCTGATCCTTTCTGTCCACTCCTTTGGTCCCCTGCTTAGTGTACTTCAGGAGGGAAGCTAGCCCCTCTCTCACCTTTCAGCTACTTCTTTCTTGCCATTTCTCTTACCCTTTGTCCTTCCAGCACACTCTAGCCCAAAGCAAACATGGATCAATTCTACTGTTTCCTTTCTCACTCTACATCTGCCTATTGAGTTTTGCAGAACCATCACAGAAACTGACACCACCAAAAACACTAGCCCATTTGCTGACTCAACATAATTTCTGTGCTTCTATTATCTAGTCAACTTTCACAATTGTTTTAGGTCATCTTCTTTCTTTTGGGTTCCTCTCCCTGAGCACCTCTCCTTTCTCTCTTAGCAGAAAATAGCACCTTCAGACAGAAAATAAAAGCACCAAGAGGAAACTCAATTTCATTTTCTCTGCCTGGAAACTAAATGTCTTCAAACTAAATGTGCTATTCTTAATCATTGGGAAAATGTCCTTAATCCTATTTGCCCCTAATGTTTCCTACTGTTTTAAGGAGTCATAATTCTCCAGTCATTTCCATTTCCATCATATTTTCAACACCTTCTTCTATTCTGTCTCTTCCATTCATGCAGGTGTTGATATCTCACACTCTATATCTTTAAATAGTGCAATGGTATGATTGTATCTGTATTTTAGAAAGCTCAGTCACTTGGATTGGAAGTTTGGATCACATTTGAAAGCTTGTTGCTATAAAACAATAATTCTCAACTGATGGTGACTTTTGTCCTCTAAGGGATATTTGGTAGTATCTGGAGACATTTTTTTCTTGTCACAACTGGTGTTGGGGGAGTGCTGCCTAGCTTTAAGTAGTGGCCAATTTTCTAGACAAAGGCTGGCTGTTGGAATGCTGTTTTATAAAGTCTGCTTAAGTTGATCGACTTTAAAGTTAAGATCTCCCTTAACAAGAATGGCAAACACTACAATTCTGGTACTTTGAAAATTCTGTTTTGGACTTAGCAATACTAAACACCAGTGGCCTTATAGAACTACATTTCATTAAACAAAGAAACAAAAGCTTTTTCCACCTCAGAAGGGATATTAAAGATGTGTTGAGCATAAGGCTTGGTGAGAAATAGAAAGGGGAGCTCTGTTATTGCCTTTCTAATTTTAAAGTTATATTCTTTGCTCTTTTCATCCATCAATTAATTAATGATTTATGCATGCTAACTTAACAGATATAATGAGGATTTTTGACATTTCGTTTTGAAGAGTGAAATGGAGAAAATTATCTATGTAAGATTTATATGTAAAATTGAGGAAATACAGACTTTTTCCTTCATCAATATTTGAATATTGAAATGAAAGGGGAAAAAAAAAACAGGACTCAAATGAAAGCCAAGAACTATTTAAGCCATACGTTTCCATGACTGCCTACTTAATAACTATATCGAAATTATTACTACCATAAAATTACTGAACCACTGGACATACTTTTGAGAATCTCATGTCAAAAGCATAAGTTGCAAAAGCTTGCTTTGGGATGGTAGAGTATCCCTTCTTTACTCATTTACACTTTCATGTACAAAATGGCTTGCTTACATTTCCACACAGTGTTCTGGCCAAGATATTATTTTTAAGGTAGCCTTGAACTAGCAACCATTCTACACCCTGCAGCACACTAGCCCCAAGTTTCAGTCAGATTTCTTGGCACCAAAGAAAGCTGGACCTACTTCTTAGAGGGTCTCAGCTGACTGTAGAAACTTTGAATGTTTAAGAAAACAAGGTAAAGAAATACATAAATCTAAGTAATACCAGTTTATCTTTCTTGCATTATGTGTATGCATTTATATATGACATTCTACCATGTAGATACTAAATAAGCTGATACCTAGGATATGTTCTTTGGGAAATAGTTTCCGTTTCTTGTATTATCTTCATTTCTGCTAGACAGGAGAGATAAAGAGATTAATATTTATTATGGCAGATTTCAATATGCTCCTGTCTCCCCATTTCCAACTCCCATCTGTCTTAGATCTTTATAAAGGAAATCCCAGGTATTTACTTTTTTATCTGTAAATATTTCAGTGTGTACTATAAGGCCTCTCTAACAATATCACAATACCATTATTTCACCTAAGACAAAGGTCTTTATACATATGCATATATCTGAGTAAATACGTATATATAAATATACACATATGAAAATATAAACAAAAATGCCTCAGTTTATGCTCAACTATACATCGTTACCGAAAATATCATATCTGGGGTAGTTTAATAGATTGTTCATATAAATCAGCTGTATCTCTTAAGTGTCTGCATTTGGAGTGTGTAGTGGTTTAGCTAGCTCAAGCATGTGTTACCCCAATAAGGTATAATGATGTAATAGCCCTTCCTGCTCTTTTAGCTATTGGATACCTGAGTATAGTTAGGAAGTGGTTCTCTTGCAGAAGAGAGCTGCACAGGTAGGTATAAGTGAATGTGTAATTTTTTTAGGTAGATGAGGAAGAGATTTTCTTTTAAAACTGGGATTTATTATTACCTAAATTTGGTATTTATAAACTTAAAAGGGACAGCCTGCATGATAGTCTTTAATAGCTATGTTACCATTCATTCACTTTACTGAGGAATATATAATTTCACTTAGGAAAATGACTACATTAATTCATACTTTGAAGACGGAGATGATTTTGGTGCAGACAGTGATGACAACATGGATGAAGCAACCTATTAGCTATGAAAATTCTCAAAATAGTATTTCTGTGATATAACTTCTGAACATTTGGGCAGATTTGTTTTCTCTTTTATTTCTGACAAGGATGAGTAAGTATTTTATCTCTGTTCCTATTTTGATGGGCCAATATTCAGAACCACTTTTTGAGTTTACAGTTGCTTCACCAGGTTGTCTCTTGACACTTAACATTCCTTTGCAACATTTCTGTTATGCCTCATATATATTCAAGTATTTTCTGCTATTTAATTAGAAGGTGCCTGGAGTTTTTGTATCCTTTAGTCTATATATTCATACTTGAACAAAATTATTCATGTTTAACTACAGATCATTTGTAAATCTGTTACTGACCATCAAGATTGATTTCTGTAATGTGGAAGTTGATTTAACACTAACTGCACAAGGAGCACTTTACAAAGAAACTTGAATTTTATTTTTACTTTATGGTTTGTTCTAGACTACTACATTATAACCACATTACCCTGAGTTCTTACAAATGCATATTTATGAGATTAGAAGTTTTGTGATCAGAAACATATACACTGGGTCAAATGCCAATCTGAGCTATGTAAACAGTATACAACTTACACCTCAGCTCATGCAGACATTTATCTGGATGAATATAAAAAATACTTGAATTTGGGTTAAACTTCATACCATAGATGAGTTAATCATCCCACTATAAGTTCGAGAGCTTTATGAAAAATTAGACTGAAATATTGTATTTTTGTCCTTTACAAAACTATTATTGTCTAGTCATAGAAATCTCATTGCTGAATGCTTGCATCATCTATAAGGTGTAATGGCCTCTGTTACATTTTACAGGGCTTCATAACTAACCAAATGATTTGTGTAACAATGCTTAATGAAACACAAGTCTTTTTAAAATTGACATCTTTTGTTTCAATTAAAAGCTAGCTTGCCTAGCTTTTGGAGGGAAAATAACTAAAGCTTCATCCTCCAAAGGTTTACACGTACCAAAAGGTTCTCCAAAAAGTTCACATATATTTGAAAAATGATTTATTAATATTTCCCACCAAATGTTTTATTCCTTTGGGAAGATGCAATCCAGTACACTCAAACCTGAGAATCAGAACCTAGATTCTATTTCTGCTTTACTATAAATTTAACGTTAAAACTGTGCGTGGGTAAGTTTCCTGTGCCTTAAGTTTCTCCACTTGTAAACAATTGCCTATAAAAATTGCCTAGGGCCCTCCCTGGTAGTGCAGTGGGTTAAAGCACAGCACTCTGAAGCTAAAGCCACTTCAGCATGAGTTCAATTCCCGGCCTCTCATGGCACAGCAGACCTCTCCTGACCTGCCCACTTCTCCCCTCAGCAATGTACTTCATTTATCAGCCTGTTCTGCTCACCACTCTGTGTCTCTGGTGAATTCTCTCACCACACCTACATCTCTGCCCTGTACCCCAGTTCTGAGTGCATAAGTATATATTTTTTAAATTGCTTAAATACCTATCTGAATTTATCATGTGTATCCATTCTCTCACCTTATAGAAATTATCACTTCATTTATATTTCATTCTTACCCTCTAGCTTAGAAAGTAATTGAAAATATATTTTTGCGAAACAAACATGTTTCCCTCACAAAATATTTTATAATCAGATCCTCTCATCTTAAATTCTGGTTGGGAAAACTGGTAGTAGTAATTTATGATGTCATGCCATCTTGCAATATGGCTTTCTCAGGAAATAAATCTTTCAATTTTAATAATTCAGTTATAAAGACCATATAAAGAGGCATAAAGACTATGTTAATGTGTTTATAGGAGCTTAACAAAAGTTGTAATTCTAAATATAATATTTGAATAATACATGAATAAAAAAGTCAACTTTAAAGCAGCAATCTACTGAAGAGTACAAACCGCATATAGTTTTCATTCGTAACAAAGTTATTTTGGATTGCTAATTAACATAGGTTTTTTATTCTCACCTCCTCAATATCTTAGCCAAATACTATTTAATTTATAGATATCTCAATAGTTTTGTCTTGCTTTCTTATACGTTTGTAAATAACTGCCTTAATAAGGCAAGTATACCAAAGATACTTTTCCTAGCTTTCAATTTGTCTCCACTTTTTAGTCTTAACATTGGTAACAGTCACTTTGAACAAAAATTTGCTTTGGGGAGCCTCAGCCATTTCCTGTAAATGCATTGTCTCTCCCCCTTTGAAACATCTTTTCACAACTTTAAAGTAGACTAGTTGTGAGAACAGACAAGAAATATTTGCAGGTTGCAGGTTATTAGTAATACAATGAATCTTGTTTTTTCTGACTTAAAATCTTAGAGACTGTAGTCATTCCATAGGAAGGTGAACTGTAATGCAGAGATAATTAAATGTATGAAATACTTGTTGGTGATGTCTTTAAATTGCTACATAACAAGCATTTTTGTTGCTACACTGCTTATTTTTCAGTATTTGTTTATACATTAAATTCTTAAAAAACCAAAATCGTGTTTTTTGGTCTTACTTTAAACCTCCTTAAATGTCTTTTTGCTTGAGAAAGTAATTATATTAGCATGATCATTGGTACAATGGACTAACTTAAAAGATACAAAGAAACGCTGAAAAACAGCTTCCAAAGGTATAGGGTATAACCTTTAAATAGATAAAGGCTCTGAAATTAGTAAAAATTTTCTTTTTATACAAAGTTGTAAGGACAATTTTGAGTTCAAGATTTTTCTCAATAAAACACATACAAATAAACCAATACGATTGATTGACAACATGCTAAAAAGTCATGGACCATATTTCATGAAGTCCTTCCCTCCCTGAAATGGAAGATACCCCAAAGCATTCATCTGAAGTTTTATTTATACTGAAGTGATTCACATTTGGGCTCATGTAATGGATTGCTGCTTGGCAATCAAGACCAAGCATATTCAAGGGCAAATTTTAACCTTCCCTTAATTACTAAAAAGATGGGAGGCCTGACCTGGAGAACAAGCTGTTTTTGTACATATCCATTTGTATGGCAAGGCAAAGGCCTAACTGCCAAACATCTGCTCTGCTAATTCTGTGAAAAGCATCCTACCCTTTGAAGCCCCAAGCTCCGATCCTATTCTTTAGCCCAAGATGGCAAATAAGCTTTGATTGCCCTTGGTCTCCTTTTTGAGGGCCCCTTACTTATGAAGTTGTATTTGCTTCTTTTTCCCCTATTAATCGTATCTTATGTAAACTTAACTGTTAAATCAAAAAATCTAAAGGGTAGAAAAATTTTGCCATCCTCCTTCACTATAGCCTGTAACTAATCCCTTGAATTTTGTTTCATTATCATATCAAAGGAGAAAACTAAGTGGCACATCTTTGTCAGTTCAATCTATCTTACATGGGATCTCTATATTAAATAGTTTGAGAAAAAAATATTTTGCTCTATCCAATTAAATTCACCAGCTTCCATTTTAGATTGAATAAAATAGAAATTTTATTACATATTGTAGCTCTTTTAAAATAGAAAGGGGCAAAAAAGTTTTATAAACCAATTTTACAGATGTACATGCTAACATAATAGTCTGTAATTCCATTCTACATTTGTATAAAATACAATATATAAAACATTTACAGTTTACATACATTGAAATAAAGCATTCGGATTATTTCTATGATCTAAAAGTGCAATATGCACATACTTGGAAGAAAAATAGTGATTTCCTGAGCAACATTGTTGTAATTCAAGATAACAATGATTCCCATCATAATGCACCATTAAATACAGACTTCTAGTAAGTAACTCCATCTTAACCTGTAATTCTTAGGCTGAATCATCGCTTCATGATATTTCTGTAACTCTGGACTTTATCTTTTATAGCCCCAAGCAAGTATTTTTAGAAGGAGATACTAATTATTGATTAATACTTCATTTAAAGAACCCTATGTAGGCAACTGAATTAAGTGTATAGAAAAATAAAAAGCTTTAAAAAAAAATCTAGAGGTCTCTGGAGTGAATTTAACATTAATTTTCTAATTATTAATGCAGCCAACAAACTATGAGACACCATAATTTTTTCTCTTGACATGATGTAATTTATAGGAACAGGACAGCAAAATATATATGTATATATATTTAAAGGGTGTCTATTAGTTTAAAAAAAACCACTTGAAACTTTAATAAACTGAATCTGCCATAAAAATAATTCTTCCTTACTTAACAACTCCATGTTTTAAGTGAACCAAATGCAGTGATTTAGCAGTTACATTTTTAAAATGTAAAACCTCAAAGTAAATTTAATTCAAAGCCTTAAGTTCAGATAAGAATTTCAACACAATAAAAACCCACAATATGAAATAACTTTTCTTATTTTATTAAGTTTTACAAAGTAATCTGCATTTGTTCCAAATTTTAATGCATATTAGTACTTTTGAAAAGCTAACATTATTCTATATTTATTAAACACTTGGAAATCTTTATCTTTTAGAAATGACAGTGATTATCACCTGTAATGCTATATGACATATATAGAATTACATAATTCAAATTATATTCAATTAATTTAAAAATATATAATTCAAATATATAGAAAGTTGTGTCATAAGGATGTCATACTTCCTTCAAGGAATAGGACAAACTGCACGACAGAAATTGTTTTTACTCAATAAGTACATACCTCACTACTTTAAAAATGAGTTACATATTTTGGAACTCAGACCTATCACAATTTCAAAGTACCACTATCAAAAATGAATCACTGACTCTCCGAAAATATCATCAATTTGATGTAAACAAAGTTCTTCAAAGGACATCTAGCCCATTTTATCCTAAAAGTTTTTTCTCTAAAAATTGATTTTCAGCAGGCTTAATTCAATGTAAACTAAGTTAACACTGAATATAAACTAGACCATACTCCTCTTTTCAAGATGCCCAAGGCACTTTAAAACTATTTAAAAACTTAACCTACCGAGTTTCTCAAATCAATTTGCTACACCTGTAGTAACACTTTTTGGTAATTGTCGACTATCCTCTAATATATTCAAGGGCTTTAATTCAATGGCTTTTTTGTCCTGACTTAGACCTTGCTCCTTAAAGCACACAAAATTCATTTATATATAGATACACTTTGTTTCAAGATTGGAGTTTGAAATATAGACTGGTCAAAATACTAAAACATTAAAATCAGGCTATAATGCCCAGAAAATGAGGTGTAATGAATACACCTTAAGGTGCATCATTATACACCATACAGTAAATCCACCAAATCTTGCTTTCATCAATCATTTTGGTTCTATTTTAAAAACCCATACCACTAAAAAGTAAGTGATAAGATATGCAGATATTTGGTTAGCCTGTGGCTGATGCATAGATCTTAAAAAGTGCCACTTAACATTCTTCATCAATCCATACATATTTAGCCTATGTCCCCCAACCTGATGTTTTGTTGGAGTTCTAGAGGGAAAAGGGTCTTTTCTTTGAGAAAGAAGGTAATGGATCAATAAATAGAGCAATAGTGTTATTGCTAATGCCAAGTCCTTTTACCCTTGTTTTTAATGAACCATTTTTGAATAAACCTCAGAGGTAGACAATGAATAGCTATTGACATGAACTTGTGCTTGATTGTGAAGGTGAAGATGAATTTACATAGCCTATTTTACAAACTGGATTGGACCATCTGAAATGTTTAAATTCTAAAAAATATATTAGCTTACATAAAATAATAATATAAGGCATTATAAAATATAATTAAGGCAAGTTACTACATGTAACACAGCAACAACTTATCACAGAATGTAATGAATTATTACCTAAATAACACTAAGCTGTACACTTCAAAGAATGGTATTACAAAAGTGCTTTTAAATAGTAGAGGCAAATATAATCGCTAAAAAATCTGAAGTAGAGGCAGCATTCTGTAAGGATAAAATTACTTTTAGGTTTTGACTTAATCCAGTGTTCAGTTAACAAAAGGCAACATCCCAACCCTACCATTTTATTCAGGGAACTTAAAAATAAACTTATTTTTAACCTCTACTGCAGACGCTAGATGTTACTTTCCCATTTCTGTTTCTACTTATGTTTTCACAGCATATGTGCCGCGTGTGGTTTTAAAGTTTCAAAATGGAGTTTATGTGCCATCATAACTCATTTTGGAGTCAATTTTTTAACAACTAAATATCTTGATGACATAGTAGTAAATTTTCTTCAATTGCAGGTACCTGATATTATTCTGTTTAAACAATTTTTAATAAAATAGTTCTTTAAAAAATAAAATTTAAGCATAACTAGATAAGAAAAATGATACATCTTCTAAATTAAGGTCCTAAACATATTTGAAACTCATTTCCGCCTTAAGCATTGATAATAAGTTACATAAATTTAACTGTCCATTTATCAACTGGAAACTATAAAGATTTTATACTCATCTACTTGTAAATAACTTCCTAAGAAGGTAAAAAATACAAAATCATCTTCAGTCTTCCTAAAAATTCTGCCTTTGAAGTGGTTATTGAAGAGAATGGATTCACCACATTCCCAATACACATGTGATCAATAACACTGTGATTATGAGTAACTGCTATGTTTTGTGTTGAGCAGCAGGTAACTGAGGTTCATGATTGTACTGTTTATGATCATTTTGTTGGCTAAAGGGTATTCCTTTAGTTGGAGCGATTTCCTTTTCCATTCCTTTCTGCTGTGATGGGGGTGTGATCCCTGAATGCAAATGTGAAGAATCCACTGTTGAATGGTGACTAACATCCACTTTAGCTAAAATTTCATAATACAACAAATAAAATACTGGTGTTATTATCCCTACTATCAACATTATCACTACAGCTGTCCACCAACCTATTCCCCAGTCTGCTCCATAATAAGGATCCTTACGTGGAATGTTTTTGTTATCAGGTTCAAAACGGATTTGCTGTGATGTTAAGGCAGATACCACCTCGTTAAGGTTTTCTTTTTTGGTGTCTGTACATTTTACAATTTGTTCTATGTCTCGGTCTACTTCTTTTAAAAAGTTACCAGCTGACTCACTAGAAGAAAGAGAATCATTAGTTGACAAGATCTCCTGTTGTTCTGGAACATATTGAACAGATGAAGGACGTGAAGTCTGTCTTCCTTTTGGAGGATAAAGCGTTTCAGTCAATGAACTAAACTTTTTTACTGGAATTCTAATAGACCTTAGGGCAAAAAAGTCTTGATCACTGATGAGATTGTTAACCCTCTTGATATCTGCCACCTGTTAAGAAAAAAAAAACAAAAAGTGCTGAATTTTAAATCAAAATACAGATAGTAATATTCATTCACCCCAGTTACTTTTAGAGGGAAAAATACAAGTTGATCTTAGTTATTAGTACTGTTTTCACGTCCACAGGGATTTTATTTGTGGATTAAAGTTCTATCCACTTTGTTCTACCAGTTTTAGAAAATCACTAATTGCCTTTTCCTACCACTCATGTATTAACACTAATGCTAGCTATTTAAGCAGGTCTGTAATTTTTAAATTTTTCTTATATATATATATATATATATATATATATATATATATATAATATGTATATTTATATATATATTATATATTTTTCAAATATCATACTTCTGTTGTTTGTAGATGATTTGTAGGGGAAGGCTTGTCAATACTTAGCATTCCTTCTTACAATTTGGCCATATATCAGCTTACTCAACTAAAAGTATATTTTATTAAAAGTTGGATGATAGTATCACTAAGGAAAAAAATACTGAAGATGCCACAATTCTAGTCACAAAGATATTTAGATGTGTGGGGGAAACAAAATCTTTGAACTAAGAGTATTTCCCTCACTTGTTCTTCTGTAGCTATTTTTGCTAAACTTCTCAACATGAATGCATTCCTCAGCTCCTCCCCAAATTAACTAAATCTATATTATACACTCTCAACCTGTATCTTCTACTTGTGTATTTCCAGGACTGCAAAGTTTAACATGTATGAAATTTACAGTCTCTTTCTCCCTTCGACAGTATTCCATATCCCAATGAATGACATTATCCTTTGAGTTGACCATCTACCTACCACTGAGAGTAGGGGGTTCAGAGTTTCTCAGATTTTGTCAGCATGCAGGTTTCCCAACCTTTTAGTATTAGTCCCTTTCATCATTCTGACCAATGCTTTGTCCTGATCGCCTGATTGATATCAGAGGGGTAAAGTCTGGTATTAAACTTAGATTTCTGGGTTGCTCAACTCAAAGGATAAAGTCGTTCACTGGGATATGGAATACTGTTGAAGGGAGAAAGAGAATGCAGATTTCAACATGTTAAACTTTGCAGTCCTTGAAATATACAGGTAGAAGATGACACAAAGTTACAGATGTATGAAATTCAGAACAATCTCGGCTAAACAGGTAAATTCTGTATTACCAGCAAGGTGGTTATTGAAGTCACTAGAGCAGACAAATTTTCTAGAAAAAGACTAGGGTAATGATGACAGGTAAGGTCCTGGAAGAATGCCAATAGTGAAGAGCAGAGAGTAAGAGAAATCCATCAGAAATATGAATAAGAAGCCAAGAAAGCAAAGTTTAAATATGATGGTGGTTAAAAGCACATAATAGCTTGAATTTAAAGTGTGGCACTGACATTTTTTAATTATGTCATTTGGGGCAAATTATTAAACCTTTCTGCAATGGAATTATCATACATATAATGACAATAATAATACTACCTACCTGATAAGATTTTTGTGAAGATTAATGAATTAAAATGTGTAAAGAAAACCTACAATAGTGATACATAATATAGTATGCAAGTGTTAACTTTAACTAAATATTAATAGGAAAATCAGAATCTGCGGAATCAAAGAGATCAAAGTTTTTAGGAGGACGCAGTGAACAAGCTCAACTGCTGCAGATAACAAATCAAATCCAATAAAGACTAAGAGGTTTTAGTTAATTCTTCTGATGTGTATATTTGGCAGAAAGAAGAAAAACAGGAGGCAGTAAAGGTCAAGGGCACTCGTCATTTTACTACCTACACTGGGTATTAAGGCAAATGAAGATGCACTGACAAACCCCAAAACCTAACCCTATTCTTTTTAAATGTCCCTTTGCTTGTATGTTCTAATAACTTCAATATTCTTTCTGTACTAGGTTTCCAAGGTACATTATCTTGCTAAATATCCCTCTATTTTTTTGCTAAGCTAATTTTTGTGGTTGTATTTCGATTGCCAACCTTGTATCATTTGTTCTCATCACTGTTTATAACAGAAATATTTTTATATTCCTAAGATTGAATATTTATAGGTGGAATTTGGCACAAATATACATTTTTTAATGAGAAATCTTTTTGGAAAGTTTTTTTTGCTACTTTAGCTAATGGTAAAGTGGAATCTTGTTTGACTCCGTAAAACTATCATATCAATTTTCCCACAACTATGGTCAATGCCATCTTTCCTTTAATGTTACCCTTACTGCCTTTAATCACTATTCATTGTAATATGAGTCAGATGACACAGCCTGTAATTTCTCCTAACTACATTTTCCATTAGCTTCTCTATTCTTACAACAAACACTTTAGCCCAAACCCTAATCATTTCCATTTGCATTCTTCCAACAACTTCTTTATCAGATCCCCTCTAATTCACTAGCAGGCTCCCCCACCATTTTAAAATTAAAATTTTAAATTTTATTTATTTAAATAATCTTATTATGAAAATCTCACAATGAAGTGTTCTATGCAAATCAGTTTCCCCAGTTATCTCAAAATGTTTAACCGCAAACAGCTACGAGCCATTCATTTCTGAAATGTAATACATTACACTATAATACATACATTATATTACAGTTCCTCCATTCACTTTTTTCCTTCTTGAAATTTTCTCTATCCCACTATTACATGCCTAAAATGCTTTTTACCTTTTTCCTCCTTGTAAATATGCCCAGTTTGAGTCATTCAATATGGCATTTATCTAAAATTTCTAAGAGTTTCCAGATTCACTAAAGGAAAACAAATGTTCTTCTCTAATCACTACTAAACTCACTATTCTTTTGGATCTCCACCTTGACTTTTTAGCCTTGTCCCTCATATAAAATGTCCCTCATATAAATTTATAAATCTTTGTTAATACTGCAGAAAACTATGACAAATAATAAGACATTTTCAGTATAAAAAATTATGAGACTATAAATATTAAAAGAAAAAAGGAGTGATATAAAATTTCATGCTTAAAGATCTGAGGTACATATTTTTCATATAAATGATTTTAGGAAGCAAATCCTGGTGTTATTTACAATTCAATAAATATTTTCAAGAGTATTCTAAGTTTTATTTTAAAATATCAAAATTGACAACATTCTGAAAATTATATCCTTTCTAATTATTTTAAATACTAAAACTAAGAAGTGAATTTCATGTGTAAAAAGGTTATATACATTTCAAAATTCTATTCTATTGTATGAGAAAAAGATTGAAACCCAGTATTCTAATTTACAGTTCCATATCATTTAGAAGAAAGCAGTCTTTGACAAAGATGTAAGATGGACATAATGACAGATAACAAGTTTAAACAGAGATTAATATTTATTAAAATAAAAATATGCCTTCCCTTTCATCTAGCAATTCTATTCTACTTTTAGAAATCTACTCTACAGAAATATTTTAAAGTATTGTTGTAATATTTGCTGCATAATTCAAAACACTGAAAAAACTTGGTATCCATGAGTAGAAAAACTTAGTATTATAGCATATTATATAGTCATTAAAAATGAGTTAGTTCTTTGAGGCTCTAAATGCTATCTGTGATAAACTAAGTAATTAAAATGGCAAAGAAACTCGGCATAATATGCACACCATAAACCAATTTTATATACAACTCCCCAAATATTTACATATATAAATACATCAAAGGTTATAGAAAGAAACACACCAAAATGTATCATTTTGGAAATGTTTAGGAAATTGGGGCAACAGAAAAATACATCCATATATACCCATACACACACTCTCTCTCTCTTACAGCTCTCTTAGTTTTTGAAAAGGAGAAGAAAGAACACATTTGGATGTTTTCCATATTGAAAATGTAACACATCTGGATATTTTTCATATTGAAAATAGAATCACAGATTTAGAAATAAACAAATTTTTAAGTATTCACTTAAAAACTTAACATCCACCAACATGATACAGATTTTGATAAAAGAGGACTGGAAAAGAAAAAAAGAGACACAAAATTTATTTTAATTTGTACTAATGAACAAATAATTTATTTTGGACTACATTATGCAAAATTAAAACTTACCGTACAACAGTACTGAAGGGCTATTGCATTTAAAGTATCTCCTTCCTTTATATCTTTTGTTAACACTACAATGTCATCAAGTCTATCTCTTGATGTACTCCTTCGGATTTTCTCTTTTCCTCTGGACCGAAGTTCATAAACCTCAGCATCCTCCTCCAACACATCACTGTCCGTACAATTTCCAAATGCATGGACTTGGCCACCTGAGTGAACTCCTGGAAGAGGAAAACGACTCTGATGCCTCCCAGCCATAATGCCAAAATCTAGGGGGGGAAGAAGGCAGAGAAAACTTTGGAATGTAGCTGAAACATCTGATTGAGCCACATGCCTCTGACATTCAGGATATTTTATCTTTTTTGTTAATCACAGTTTTAGTTATTTAAAAATTTAGATTGACGTTTTACTGCTGTTGAAATACAATGAAAATATCTGGCTATGTAGATAATGTATTGGGAAGAAGTGATCCATTCTTACTGACCATGTACCATGTATCACAAACATGGGCGCGATTACCTTTTTTTTTTCTTTAACTTTTTTTGGGCAATAAAATAGCTTTACAACACTGTATATGATTTAGGGAAATAGGTCCACATCTCTTCAGGTGTGTATTACCACACCTGAAGTGTTATTAACAAGGGCAAACTTAACAATTTCTAGTTCAGATGGAATTAAAGTATATGGTTTATATCTACACACAGTAATTAAAAAACCCAAGACTTTCTGGTTTGTTCTACATTTAAATCCATATGGGATTGAAGTATCTTTTGTACTTTCTACCTCCTTGGATTATATTAACTTCAGGGTTTACAATTAGTAATAGAGAGGTCATGATTTTCCTCCTGACCAGGAATTTTTTTCAAAGCCCTTATCAAACTCAAATTGTTTCATAAAAACTGTGAACAGGTTTCATGTGACTTTTACTTCAGAAAAAAATACTGTGAGACTGAGATTTGACCTAATTAAATAAAAACAACTAACATTTGTTTATTTGCATACTCACTCTTAACTCACCTTAATCAAATAGATCTACTCATTATAAAGTAATACAAGAATGCTGACTGGGGCCCTCCCCGTTGGCGCAGCGGGTTAAAGCACAGCACTAAGAAGCTAGCGCCACTTCCACATGAGTTCAATCCCTGCCTGCCCCAGAGGTGATCCACATGGGGAGGCAGATATCTCCTGACCCGCCTGCTGCTCCCCTCAGTGTACTTTGAAGATCTGCCTGTTCTCCCCACTGTCACTAGTGAATCCTCTCACCACCCCTGCACCTCTGGCCTGTACCCCAGTTCAGTATGCACAAATAGATAAATCGTTAAAAAAAAAAAAAAAAAAGAATGTAAAGACTAATTGTACATTCAGTTTTGACTTCATATTGTTCACACAAAAAATGGCAGACTACTTTCAGTTACTTTGTGAAAGAAAGAAACAGTAAGAGACATTGTGGCAATAAAATACTTGGGAATTAATAGTGTGGCTCAGATATTAAGAGAGGGAAGTTGTTAAGGATCACACATCAAAATTTCTGATTTGCATCACTGGGTAATGGTGGTACCATTTTCTAAATTATGGAAAACTGTAAGAACTTTGGGAAGATGGGGACACACTATGATTATAAATTCCTCTAAGCCAGTCAAAAGGAATGGCAAGTAGCCAAGTGAACTATATAGTCAAATTCAGAAAGGGTGGATCAGAGATCTATTCATGACTCATCTATACATGGGTAAAAAGTGAAGCTGTGTGTGCAGATGCTGAAGAGGAAGTAGAGAGAAAAGTCTCCAAGAATGAGCCTTTAAGAATGCGTAAAGGGGCCCTCCCTGGTGGCGCAGCGGGTTAAAGCACAGCACTGAGAAGCTAAAGCCACCTCCACATGAGTTCAATCCCCGCTTGCCCCGGAGGTGACCATATGGCAAGGCAGGCCTCTCCTTACCCGCCCGCTGCTCCCCTCAGCAGTGCACTTTGTCGATCTGACTGTTCTGCTCCCCACTTTGTCCCTGGTGAATCCTCTCACCCTCCACATCTCTGGCCTGTACCCCAGTTCTATATGAATAAATAAATCTTTAAATAAAGAAAAAAAAGAATGCGTAAAGGAAAATAACCTTTAAAGGAAGTATGGAAAAAGAGTGTTGAGAGGAGAAAACCATGAAAATGTTATGTCACTGAATTCAAAGACACAATGTCATCTCAAAGGGTTTAGTTCCATTTTGATGACTACAGGTAAGTACAAAGTGACAAAAACTATCCAATAAAGCTGAATTCCAAAGGTATGAATTTGTAATTTAGATGACAAGATTATACACTTTATATGGCACATACCTAAGAATTTTTCTAGCTACAATTGAACGCAAGCCATGAAAACCAATTTTTGACCCTGCTCTGCAACAACACAAATGCTTTAAAAACTCAATGGTTTCTATTCAGCTAATATAGGTAAGTAGTCATATATTAAATTATTTCACCTATTTTCCAGGTGTTACATTATTGCCATGAACTGGGATTCCTAACTTGACAGCAACCAAATTAAAGAAAGCTATTTATATTTTATACCAATTTTTGAAATCATGTGGTCTCCCCTATTCCTTCAAGGAATGTTAACAAGTGACCATTCTTAATAAGCTCATAGAGATTAAATGTGTTTTAGTATCATAATAAAGATGCTTTGTTTTTATTTAATTATTTTAAAAATTGAAAGAATATCTCTCTTCCTAAAATAGGTTAAGTTGTATATTCCACTTATTTGACCAAATCTTTTCTATCCAACATCTTCAATCTAGGGAATGTCTGAATCCTGTGGGTTTGTAGGCAACATCTAATACTACGCAAGTTACTCTGGGGAAGAGTACTGTTCCTAAATTCTCAGGAAGGGTTCATGTTTTTAAAAAGAGTAAGAATCACTTAATACACAGTAACTTACACTCAGTTATGCCTCCTTTAGACTTTTGCTCCCTGATGACTTTGCTCTTATAACACCAAACTGACATATCCTACAGCTAACTGAAATCCACTAAGCAATGCCCCAAAGCTATTTAATATATTTATACCAACTTTTTCTGTTTCACGATTTCTTCACTCCCTTTTGAAATGAAATCAGGAAGAACACAAATTGGGATTCTGTTTCACAATAACCAAGAATTAGTTGTCTCTCTAACAGAAGTAAACAGCTAGACTCTGGTCAGGCAGATAATTAATTGAGTCAACAATACAGAGATTAGAAAGTACACAGTACTCAAGCCAACTGGATCAACTTGTCTCGCCCTTTGATAAAAGTACGAAACCCCTGTCAGAAAACTCAAGCCACCAAGCTACCAGAATTACACGGAACTAAGAAGTACCAATGGATACGATGTTAAAGCAGTCATCAGCTTAGTCAGTAAAAAATGGTTTAACAAACACCTTATAGCATACTTGCTGCTAGGTGCTTCCCTTTGACATTAAGAAGAGAGCACCGAGTGACAGGGAGCTAGGTAGTTCAGCCCAGAGACGGTAACACACAGGAGTATCCCCCAGGGCCAACTGAGTTTTTAAAGCCTTCTTTTCCTTTTCACTCCTGAGATTTTTTTTTTCTTTCCCTGTTATTCCCAGAGAGTATATCTCAGACATTTATGTCATATCATCGCACTGGAACCATACGAATGGCCACCAGCGGATACTGAACACAAAGTTATGGAACAAAAGTATGTAGTATGTTAGGATGAGAAATGCCTTGCGCCGGGAAACGGACAGGAAAGAGTCTTCCCTAAGCCTCAGTTTCCCCGACAGAGTTAGGAGGGGGTTCGGGGAGGATGGTTTGAGGTATGCAGCGCTCCCCTCCCTCGAGAGTCTCCCCAGGCGGGCCGAGGTCACATCCCCACGCGCGACGGCCCCTTCACACCTGCGGCGGGCGATTCCGAGCCACCACAGCTTCGCACTGTCCGGGCCCAGCCCCGCCAGCCCGACAGGGCCCCCCCTTCCTTCACCTCTCGTCGCCATATTTACCTGTTCCGTTAGCAGGAGCAATGCAACAAGGAAACGGCTGTCAAGTCCGCCGCCGTCCCAGGCAAGTTCATGGCCAAGCCTCGGGTTTCTGATTGCCCCCGTCTGTCGCTGCCACCACAGCCGACTCCGCCAACGTCTCCGCCTTCCGCACTGTGCGCCGCCGCCACGTCCGCAAACCTGCCATGCGTCATCGCGTCAAGAGGGCGGAGGCGGGAAAGGGCGGGGGAGGAGGAGGTGGGTGGGGGCGCGAGGGCTAACCCGAAGCGGGTTTCCCCAACCACAAGCCTACGCCCGGCGCGCATGCGCAGGGACTCTGGCAGTGAATGGGCGGGAGGGGAGGAGGGTTCCAGCCCCGCCTTGACTCCGCCCCTCCGGCCCCGCCCCTCTACACCGTCCTGGAACTCCGCGGACAAAGTCTGCGAGCTAACCCGGCGACCCGGCGCGACCTACTGGCTGTGCCTTTGTCCTTCGTCTACCTAGCGGAGCTGACAAGAGAAAAATACCTAAGAGAGGAGGTGCAAAGGATATGTAGAGGATTGTTGTGCATCTCTTCTTGTTCTGCATCTGGAGGCTTGCGGACAGTGGACAAAGCAAGCCCCAAAGCACGGTGTAGACATCTATATTTTAGAAAATTGTATTATACTTATCCGTCTTTTCATTCTGGCGCCTCTAGAATTCTACAGAAGAGGCAACATACTAGAAAGAAACCCTTGGGAGGAGGAGGACGTTGTTTCCAACCTTTGTCATTTTAGGTGATTAAGTGAGCCACCTAGAGGCAGGCGACGGGAAATACTGATTGATCTGCCCATGGAGCTGGCTCTGGGCTTCCTATTCTCCAGTAGTCAGGACTCTCTGCAAATTGTAATTTAACTTGTTTTGCTTTCAAATTTAACTGAAAGTTATTGGTAGACACTTTTGGGGGCAATGACCCATTCGTTTGTTAAATAACAGACGCATTTCATCATATATATTCTTTCTCACAAATTTACTGAATGAGTATACTGATGGGCTTAATTTTACGTACATCGATGTAAAACGATTTCATGCCTAATGTTTCCCAGAAGTAAGTTTTGCGCGTTGACGGCCTTACTCTCTTGACAACATACATTTTAGAGCCAAACAGGATTGGTGTAGATAAGTTTTCCAAATTGCAGAGTACTCCTTTTCAGAATTTCTGAATTCTCAGCCTTTGAAACTTTTAAATTATTTCAAAGCATGTGAGATTTCTTTGTTTTTGTTTTTATTTGTTTATTTTCTGTAAGTGTCTCAGTAAAGGTTAAGAATTCAGCATTGAAGTGTTTTTCCTTTAGAAAGGCATGTTCTCCACAAGTCAACCAAGAAAAAAAAAACTGCAAAAGACTTAAATTTTTTTTTTAATTTGTCTGATCTGTTTTGTGTGCTGCTGCCCTTGTGACACCCCTGTCTGTTACCATTTATCACTGAGACATTTTCTCATCAGTAGACAAAAGATAAATTCCCTACTTGATGTGTAGGGCTTCAGCTGCTCAGCCTTCATGAATGTTAATGTGAATACAACCTTCTTTCTGCATATAGGTTACTTTTCTTATGTTAATGTCAATAGACAGTGGAATCCCTGTGAGAGAACCAGTGATAGAATTTCAAGCACTTCTGTGAGACTGCTACCTGTCTTCTGTGTATAAATACTGTCAATGAAATTTGCATGCTCTTGAATTGTTACTTATATTTAACATACTTGCAGTTTTTATATTTTTATAAAAATATAATAATTGAATTATAATTTCTTAGAATATACAAAGGAAGCAGTTAGCCATGAATTTTGGCAAAGTTCCAAAAAGGAACAACTACTTTGTCTTTGAGAAAAGAAATGTTCACAATGTTAGATAAAGCCCAAAGAATTTTTGGTTTTTCGATTTCTCATCTGATGAAAGTTTTTATTAAAAGTCCAACCGTATCTGAAAAACCACACTAGAAGTTCAAAAGCAAAGCTTTCATGTCCATATAAAAAAAGTCACAGAGCACTGACGTACATAAACCTATACTGAAAATGGTCCTTTTTCAACACAAATTACATTTGCTTGTATTAACTAAGCAGCTGCTGATTCAGACCTTGTTTTAAGTACTGGGGATATCTAGTGAACAAACAGGCCCAAAATATTTTCATAGAGCTTCCCTTCTTCTGAAAAAAGATAAAGGAAAACCAAATAAATGAAACATTAACATGTAAGAAGGTGATAAATGAAAATTAAATAGGGAAGTATGTGAGAGTGTTTTAGGTAGGGAGAGTTTGCATTTGTGTTAAGTAGGGAAGGAAAGGTCAGGTTGAAGGTGATGGACTAACATAGACCTGTGGAGAGTAAGAGTGTGAGCCATTCTGGTACGTGAGAGAGAATTTGCCAGGTAGATGAATCAACTTCAAATCCTTGAGAGGAATTATGCCCAGTGTACAGCAAGAAGGCAGCGTGACTGAGGTTGACTACAAGACAGGAAGGCAGTAGCAGATGAGGTTAGAGAAGCAGATGGGACTTTGTAGACCATTTTCAAGACTTGAGCTTTTATTGTCAATAAGCTCAAGTATGGTTAAGTCATGGCACAGAGCAGGACATTATCCACCTCTCAAAAAGCTCCTTCAGGAGGACTGGGGCAAAAACATAGAGCTCAATTAGGAGGCTAGTGCATTACCTAAGTAGGACAAGAGGGAAGTTGTCTTGAGTTAGAACATCAAATATCAGATGAATTTGGGTTAAAAACACTTGGCTTAAAAACATTTTTTTCATAAATTAGAAGGCTAAAGATGAACACTGCACAATTTTGCACCACACATGGAATACAGAGA